GCAGTATTCAGTAGGCCTATAACCTGAGAGGTTATAGTAATACCAAACTTGACAAAACCACCATTCAACAAAAGAGAGATGAATTGTCCACATAAAAAACAACTACCCAAAACCTAATTCCAGATGCCTTGGTCCTAGTGCAAAGACACACTGTCTCCTCTAAAACTTAACATACATTCTATTTACCTGTGACAAAAGCACCAGAGATAATGCACAAGAAAATTACTTCAAACAGCAATTCCACGTTCACAGAACTCAAAGACAATGAATAAATGCATGAATGAGAACTGCAAAAACACATAGTTGAATCAAGTAATAAAAGAAACTCAAGATGTAAAAATCAAATTAAAAAAATAAAGAAACCCAAAAGCAAAGTCCTAATGAAACAAATCAAATTAAAAAATATAGAAACCCAAAAGAAAAGTCCTAATGAAATACTACTGGAAATGAATTTAGGCAATCAAACGAAAGAGGACAGCATTATCACCACACTGGATCACATAGAAGACAAAATATCAGGCTAGGAGTACAGGTAGAGGAAATGGATCAATCAGTCTAGAAACAGTAAAAATCTATGGAACATAGCATGGGACATAAAGGACACTACAAAAGAACAAATCTGAAAGTGATAGTTATATAAGGAATACAAGTCAAAAGCAAAGAAAATATTTTCAAAAAAAATCATAAATGAAAATTGCAAAAATCTAAAGAGATGCCCATTTATGTGCAAGAGGCAAAGAACACCACAGAGTCAGAAGAAATTTTTTTTCACATCACATAATAATTAAAACACTAAGCGTATGAACAAAGACAGAATACCGAGATCAGTAAGAGAGAAACAAGTCACACGGCAATACCATAAGAATAACACCTAACTTTTCAATAAACTTTGAAAGAACTTGGATTAATATGCTTCAAGTTCTCCATGACCAGCCCAAACTACTATATCCAGAAAATCAGTCATAATCAAAGGAGAGTTTCCATGACAGAATCAGATGTACTAAAATTAAGTCCACAAAAGGAAACTATACAAAAGAAACCATGATCAAATAGGCTTCATAATAGAGATAATGGGATGGTTCAACATGCGTAAACCAATTAATGTAATCCAACACATACAGACCTCAGACCAGAAACACATCTTTATCCGATCCGATGCAAACAAAGCTGCTAACAAAATCCACTACTTTTCATGATAAAAGTCCTAGAGAACCTAGTAATACAGAGAATATAAAAAAACATAATAAAGGAAAAACAGAAGAAACCCACAACAAACATGTTAAATTGGGAACAAGACAAGGATATTCACTCATTATTCCTGTTCAATATAATGCTTGAAGTGTTGGCTAGAGTAATAAGTGAAGAAAATACCAGTAGGGAAAGAAGTCAAATTATCTTTATTACAGTAATATGGTTCTATACAAAAAATAAATCTGTAAGTAACAGATTGTAAGACTCCACCTGAAAACTCCTACAGCTGATCAATACACTCAGCAAAGTAACAAGATACAAAATGAAGAGACAAACTCAGTAGCTATTCTATATATATCCAAATAATAAACACAAAGAGAAAGAAACTAGGAAAACAATCCCAGTCATATAGCCTCAAAAAAACTTGGAATAAATCTAACTAAGGAGGTAAAACACTTACATAATTAAAACATTACAGAAAATATGATGAAGAAGACAACAGAACATAGAAAAAACACCCATATTCAGAATGGTATGATTAATGTTGTGAATATGGTCATTCTACCTAAACCCATTTACAGATTCAATGCCTCTCAAAATCATAGCTCGATTTTTCATAAAAATTGAGAAATATTAAAATTCATTTGATAATACACACAACAACAACAAAAAAAAAAAACCAATCCTGAACATTAGAAGAACTGCTAAATGAATCATCATCCATGACATTAACAAAGCTTTGGCAATAAAACAGCATGGTACTGGCATAAAAATCAGACATGTCAATTTATGAAATAGAAGTGAGGATGCAGATGTAAGTCTACAAAGCCAGAGCTACATGATTTCTGAAAGAAGCAAAAAAGACATAATGGAGAAAACAGCATCTTCAACAAAATGGTGCTGCTCAAACTGGCCAGCTGCATGGGAACCCAGATTTTCATCTCTAATCCTGCATAAAATGCAACTCTGAATGGATCAAAGATGTTCACATAGCCTAAATCTAATAGAAAACTTAGAAAATACACTTGAAATTATAAAACTCCAGTAACAATGGCATTAAGACCAATAGCACAATGGAACTAAAAGCATTTCATGTAGCAAAGGATTACTGCAAAAAACAGGAGTATAAAATGTCTGCAGGTATATATTCAACACAGGGTTGTTTTCTACAAAATAGAAAGAATTCAAAAACTTAAACATCAAGAAAACAAGCCAAATTAAAAATGGGGCATAAATATACTTATCAAAAAATGAAATATAAAAGTCTGAAAAATATTTTCTGAAGGATGGTACATAACTATCAGAAAACACAAAAAGACTAAAAGTTCATTTTACATCAGTCAGAATGGCTAAGTTCAAACAAATAAGAGATATTGGAGCAAATGCAAGGAAAGAGGAACATTTATTGACTGTTGGAGGGCAAATTGATGCAGCCTCTATAGAAACCAGTATGAGGTTTCTCAAAAAACTTAGATCTACCATATAAGCTAGCTTTACCACTCATGATAATTTAGAATTTCATATGAAATATCTATTCATCCCTGTTCAATGTTCTCTATTCACAACAGCTAGGAAATGGAAACAGCCTAAATGTCTATCAAATGGTGAAAAAATAATAAAAATACAGTACATCTCCACAATAGAATATTATTCAGCCCTGTTAAGAAAAATATTATAAAATCAGCAGAAAAATAAATGGATGGAGCCAGAAACAGTTATCCTGAACAGAGTAGTCTAAGCAAAGAAAGGTAACACTAGATTACTAGTCTCATTTCTGAAAGTGGAAAAAAGGAAAGCAGGGTAAAGGAAAGAGGATGAGGAATAAGTAACATTAATGGCCCTTTGAAAGCCAGATGGAAACCTAGTTCTATAGAACCATCATAATATATATATATAAAATGAAGTTTAATAGGATTATTATATAACCAGGGACAATACCCCAACCAGACACCTCATGCTACCATATAGCCTGGTGCCATGAATTGGGTATCAGGCACTGGAATCACAGAGAATCCTCAACCATTACAGTAGGCTACTCCTGGCTACTCTCCTGTCTCACTCTTCTACTGCTATGAAGAAACAATATGACCAAAATCTATGAAGAGTAAAGGGTTAATTTCACTCACAGTTCCATAACAGTTCATCATTGAAAGTAGTTTGAGGAGAAATCAAGCAGGGCTGAAACCTGATGGAACGGCCATAGTTCAGCAGCTTGCTCTTTATAGCTTCTTAACTTACTTTTTTACAGAACCCAATACCATCAGCCCAGGGATGGCACTAACCACAATGGACTGAACCCTCTCAAATCAATGACAAATAATGGCATTTTCTCAACTGAAGTTCCCCCTTCTCAGATGACTTAGTTTATGTCAAGTTGACATAAAACTAACTAGCACACCTCCAGAACTTGATGGTAAGACTTTATTGCTGAAGACACCAGCCACATCCTTGAATCACAGAGCAAGAAAACATCATGCTGGTACTCAGCGGCAAACTTCATTCCAAGTGGCTAGCATTCACTATGCTGGAAGGTACTATAACAACTGTAGAAGAAAAGCCTCATCTCACCCAATCATAAACCTTGCAAGCGAAAAGTGGCCTGATAAGATAGGCTCACTGGTGTAATAACAGCAAATGTTATGGAGGTAACTAACCACTATAAGAATAAAGGTGTATTCCATAAGGAAAAACCCATACCAGGAAATATTAAAATGGCCCAAGAACCTGTGATTAGATATGGTTATAGACATGTCCCAGAGCAAAATCCAATACAATTACTCTACTAAACGCACAAAGCATTAAAATGAATCCTAAAGATTTATTGTTATACCCAGAGAAAAGAGCATTTCTCAGCCCTCACCAGAGAAGCTTTGCTCTGAAACATATGGCACATAACAGACATGGACACACCCCAAAACAAAGCATGTCAAAAGGAAAAAAAAAAATTAAGAGTACTTGGTCCCAATTCAGAAATTAATCTCAACCCAAAGTGCTAGAGGAAGAGAGACACAGGTGGTAGACAGCTTCAAGGAACAATGTTTTTCAAGACACACATAGTATATAAGCATATAAACTCACAGCTATTATCATAGTATGGCCAAGCAACAACCAGCCAAAATCTCAGCACAGGGGCCAGAGAAGTAGAGATGTCATCCCACCACTAGTATCTTATGACCCATGAATGGCTAACTACATACTAGAGTAGGCCCCCAATTCCAAGACTAGCTTGGCAACCCAAAACTGGATTCAATAAGGAATGAAAGGAAAAAAAAATAATCAAAAAAGTAATCTTATTTTTATCCAAATGTATATGGATTTTATTTATTTACAATAAACCACATAAGGTAGGAGCAGTTATGAAACAACCAGGAAAGCTTTACGTAACTTACATTGCAAATGTTTAGCTCATCTGTATTTGGTAATCTTGAAGAAAATACTCTCTAGCCTAAGTGAATCTAAAGTTTTGTACCTAAATTATTCTCTATCATAGCTTGCATTTAACTTAAAAAAAAAAAAAAAACAACCATCTTTCTAGACCTTAAAAACATTTTCTTAAATCCTGAACTCAAATCTACCTGTGAAACTGTAACTATCTAATCATCAACCCCATCAGATTTAAAAAGTAATAAAATTACGTAAGTAGGAAGTGTAGACAAGCAGCTTCCAAAACTAAGATATGACAAAGACAGTTTACTGCCTGGCCAGTCATCACTCTTCCTCTGTAACAATGGAGCATCATGTTCAGCCTTCTGGCACAGTAGGTCTGGCAGAAATAATTGTGAAACAGGAAATATGAGGGACTTGCTTACCCTGTCATGGCAGAACTTGACAGTCAATTCAGCCTGTATCCAAGTCTTGTCCATTTTGGACAACATATTGTCTAGAGATATAGCTGGGGCATTTTTGCTCAGTAGCTAACTTGTCATTAATGAAGCTATCTCCAAAAGGAGATTTTATGATGCTCATCACTTCGTTGAGGTAGGCAGTGGGTGTTGCCAGGAGCTGACATGTCTCAAGTCAAAGAGGCCTTAAATTAATAAAAAAAACATCTTTAAATGCCATATTCTGTATGTCTCTGAAGTTTCTGAGGGCCATTTATCTATTTACATTTATATTTAAATAATCTAAACTTTAAATGCCATATTCTGTAAGTCCCTGAAGTTTTTGAGGACCATTTATCTATTTACTTTTATATTTAGATAATCTATCTATATATATACATAATCTGTCTATCTGTCTGTCTCTGTCTACCTATCTACATCTATCTATCTATCTATCTATCTATCTATCTATCTATCTATCTATCTATCTGAATAGGAAAACATTGCTTATTTCTAGGTATTTACTATATGTTCAACCTAGGATGTATATTTCTGGGATGAACTGAACTAATATCTGGCATGACCATGAGTCTGACTGATTAACTATTAACTTGTATAAGTTAGTTATCCTAAGGAGTTTGTAATAGCAGTTTTTAAAAGGACCAGAAATAAACCTTACATTTGTAAATGAGTTGTATGGGTCCAATACTAAAGTAGAAACATACATACATGTGTACCAAAAAAAAAAAAAACCTTAAATTTGAATCAATATATAAAATTGTACACCGCTGTATTAAAAATAACCTATTTCTGTATTAAAAATTATTTGATTGCAATTTATTTGCTTTGTATCCATCTGTAGGCCCCCCCCCATCCCCTCCCAATCCCATCTTCTCTCCCTCTTTTCTTCTCATGCCCCTACCCGAGTCCACTTATAGAGGAGGTCCTCCTCCCCTTCCATCTGACCCTAGCCTATCAGGTCTCATCAGGACTGGCTGGCTGCATTGTCTTCCTTTGTGGCCTGGTAAGGCTGCTCTCCCCTCAGGGAGACAGTCCTTGTTCCCCTTACTAGGCACCCATTTGGAGACTGAGTTGCCATGGGCTACCTCTGGGCAATGGTTCTAGATTATCTCCATGAATGGTCCTTGGTTGGTGTATCAGTCTCAGAAAAGACTCCTGGGCCCAGATTTTTTGGTTTGTTGCGCTCCTTGTGGAGCTCCTGTCCTTTCCAGGTCTTTCATCTCCCCTTTCTTTCGTAAGATTCCCTGGACTCTTCCCAAAGTTTGGCTATGAGTTGCTCAGCATCTGCTTCATATCGTGCTGGATAGAGTCTTTCAGAGGCCCTTGGAGGGCGTTACAGCTGGGATACAAAGTAAATAAATTGTAATTAATAAAAAAATAAATTTTTAAAAAAAGAAAAATTAAAAAATATTGGTAAATGACAATAGTTTTATAGTTAAGAGCATATTCAATATTCTTTTCTCTTATTATTCCTATGTATTTTCTACATATTCCCATATTCCCCTTTTTATTACACTGCTTCTGTTTTTCCACTTTATACCCTGATCCCAGCCCCTCCCTGTCTCACTGTCCTACCTTCTTCCCCCTTTCCCTTATAATCTTAAAATTGGTTCAAAATAGTGGGACAGTTGAGAGGGTTGAAAAGGAATGAGTTGAGGAGGTGTTTATATTAAATTAAAGACTGAATAAAATTCTCAAAGAATTTCTTTTTAAAAAGCAGTTTGTAAAACAAGTTTAAATGGAGCTTAAATGAAAAATCCCAGTAACAGGGATGGGTTACCTCTTTGGAGTTGCTGGCCGGTGAGATCCCACAGATCACCCTCTCCCAACAATATTGCTCATTTATTGACAATGTGTTTGGTTACCCTCCAGAACTTGATGGTAAGACACTACTGCTGAAGACACCACATATTCTAGTCAAAAAATGGGGAAAAAAAAAAAATCAAGCTAAAACTCACCTGGAAGCTTGATCCCTACTGACTAGCATCTGTAGAACTTGATGGTGCTATAAAGACTACCAGAGGAAAAAAGTAATCAGTAGATAACGTATAATCAACTTCCATGTCATGCTCTTCTATGATCTACTGTGCCTTTCTATTTTTAATTACCTCATTTCTCCCATCACCTTACCTCTGTATTCCACTAATACTGAGTCCATGTACAGTACAGTGAACTTGCTGGTAGTACTCTTCCTGCTGATAACACTATAGTCCATAGTTTTCACAGCTCATACCTAAAGTTTCCATATCACTTCTGTGTACCTATAGCAATCATTGACTCCACTATGCCACATTAACTTCCCTTATAATTAGCATTTCATCATATAGTAGTAAAAGCATGACCATATAATGTATTCTTGTATCTTCCAAACTACCATATTATGACTCAAAATTTTTATTTCTCTTTTATTATTACCTTTTTAAAGTTGGTAGTTTTCTAGTTATTTGACTTTTAGAAAAACATGTCAGATTAAGTAAACTTATCCTCTATATTAGAAGGCTAATCCATGGTTAAAGAACCCACAAAGGTTCAATCTGACCAAGAGTATGATGACAAAACCCAAAAAATGAAAACTTTTAGAACCACCTATGCCTCAAGAGTTCTCTTATTTTAGAAAATGTCTGAGATACTAATTGGTATATACTTACATACTTGAAAATATGCCTGTGTTATATATCACACAGAAGCAAAAAGCATCTGACCTTTTAACCAAAGATTACCCTAATTAAAAGGCTCAGCTGTCCCAAAAATAATCATGGAGCATGAAGTTTAGAGCACAGTGTCTTGCCAAATGGCAAACATTAAAGATGTTAGATATTCCCTATACTCACAGACTGAAGACTATGATAGTTTTTTTAGAAATAAACTTATACCACTATATCTTTCCATGCTTCTGAGACACTAAAAATTTTTCATACATTTAATGATTTTCACTCTTTCACACAGTATTTATTGACTATTTATTATATTCTTCACTAAGTGTTCAAGGTGGCTTTAGCTATGAACTTGACCCAGTCAAGTATGACCTAAGAAGAGAGTCTCAATTGAGGGGCTGCCTAGGTCAAACTGACCAATGGGTATATTTAGGGGAATTGTCTTGATTGATATAGGAGGGTCTAGCCTACTGTGGACAATACCATTTCCTGGACAGGTGGTCATGGACTAAATAAGGAAGTAGGTTAGCTAAGCTTAGGTCTGCAAGCTGAGTCAGCAAAAGCATTATTCCACACTTGAAATTCCTACCTTGATTTCTTTAAATGATAGCCTATAACCTTTAAGTTGAAATAAACCTTTTCCTACCCTATGTTGCTTTGTGTCAGATTGTTAAATATCAACAGAAAAGTTTAGGTTCCTATTCTAGTGCAAGGTTAAAAACACAAACCAAGTGATATTAAATCTTAGAAATAAAAATAGTAGTAACTGAAAAGATAGGACAGGGTCATACTTTGACAAAGTTACTCAGCAAAGACACCTCTGACAAGGCATTATCTAAGAATTCTAAAATAAGAACATGTAGGTTAACCCAAGAAGGAAGAGACAGTAAGTAGCAGGTTTAAGAATTCAAAAGTTGCAGGTTAAGAACATAAAGCCAGTAAAATATGTCACATAAATTTTAAAAAGCCAGTTCATACAGGGCCGTATCAATTTCTAGGCATAAATTTAAAAAATGGGAAGCCTTTAAAAAGTTTTGAGTATGCAAAAGATGGTTTAGCTATGGGATCAAAAAAAAAAATCCATTTTATTGTTGGTAGAATAACAAAAGTACTGACAAACAATGACATCCCTTATCAAAACAAGACGGCAATGGAGCTTGCTATAAAGGTTTTTGAATTGGCTGAACTGTATTTTGAAAATAAATCCAGCACGATTTGCCAAGGGTTCCAATATGTGAGACAAAGAGAAACTAAAAATGCCTTCTAGGATTTGATTAACAGACACTGAAAAACCTCCTACTCAGTAAGATTCAAAGGTCTATAAAAGATTTGAGGGAATTAAAAATATACAAATAACAGCCTACTTTGAATTAATCAATTTCTTGGTTTGGGAGGTGTGTGTGTGTGCACGCACGTGCGTGCACAAATATGCAGGCATGTATACCTGTGCGTGTGCATTTGGAGACCAGGAATCAATGTCAATTATCATCCTCTATTGTTCCTCACCTAACTTTTTGAGACAGGGTCTCTCCCTAAGCCTGAGGCTTGCTGAATAGACTGAATGAACAATGAGTTTCAACAATCACTCTATTTCTGTCCCTCCACCAAGGCCGGGGTGAGAAGGCCATGCCACACTTTTTATATAGGTTCTGGGATCTGATTCACGTAGTTATAAAGCAGGTACTATACCAACTGAGACAACTCCTTAGACCCTGCTTTTAGCTGCTTTTTGTTGCTGTGGTTGTTTTGGTTTTTATTGTTTTGTTGTTTGCTTGTTGTTTAAGGCAGGGTCTCATATCGTCTACACTGGCCTTACTGTATTGGTGAAGCTAACCCTGAAAAACCTCCCAAGTACTGGGACTGCAGGTGTGAGCCAAACTAGTATGAAACTTTCACATAATGTCATCTGGTTTCCTTTCCTGTTCTATTAAACTCATTCGCTAAAGGACACTTCTTTCTATCCAACTGCATTACCAATAGGGTGACATTGTTGTCAGTGTAAAAAAGTCCCAAAAAGAAGTCCCCAAAATTGTTTGCATCTGTTAATATAAAAGAACTTTGCAGTTTATTTCCAACAATCACTCCTTTACCTTAAACATATTAAACACCAAACCTATGACTATTACAATTTTATCAGTTTGTTAAAAACTTTCATTCATACAATAATTTTGATATATAAAGACACAACAGGTAATTTTTCCAAAGCTTTTATTTTTGTTAACAAATAAGAACTGTATATAATTATCATATGCAACATGATGTAGCAAAGAAAGTTATGCAAATTCTCATATACACAGCACTTTTGCAATACTTAAAAGTTGACTTTTGGTGATATTCATGGAAAAAATACATTAATAAGTCATCAGGTTTTATAATACGTTTCCTGAACTAAATTCTCTCCATTTCCCATTTTGTATTCTATGACCATCATCTAGTATACCCTGAGAAACAATCACTTTAGAAAAAAAAAAAAAAATCAATGTTTTTACATTTTATGTACAAGTGAGATCATGCAACACTTGTTTTTCTGTGCTTGACTTACTTCACTGAAAATATGGACCATCATTTCTACCCATGTTGTCATAGACATAGAATTTCAGACATTTTAAATGTATAAATATTACATCACGATATATACCCAATTTTATTTACTTATCCACTGACAAACAATGGCGTCGTTCTACATTTTGCTTACTATAATGTTGCAAACAATTATAGTGCAGGTATCTCTTTGAACACACTAATTTTATTTCACTTTGCTACTTCTATAATATAGAAGCTAGGTCATGGCAATTCTATTTTTAAACTTTTGAGGAACCTATTATTTTTGATAATTGATCTAATTTATATTTGACCAACTGTGTGTAAAAATTTGTTTGCTCACAACCTCACCACCATGAACATTCATATTTTTATGACAATTATAGTAGTATGAGATGATAACTCACTGTTGTTTCAATTTAGATTTCAAAAATGATTAGAGAGGTTAAGAATTTTTTTCTCATGAGTTTGATGCTGGGCAAGGTGGTACACACATTTAATCCCAGCATTCAGGAAGCAGAAGAAAGAGGATCTCTGAGTTTGAAGCCAGCCTGGTCTATAGGGCGAGTTCCAGGACACCAAGGGCTACACAGAGAAAAACCTGTCTCAAAAAATAAAAATATAAACAAATTTTAAAATATATATAAATAAATTTAAAAGTGAACAAGGAAGGGTATATGTGAGAATCTACAGGGAGTATAGCAAAGGGAGAAATAATAATAATCTCAAAATAACAGAAAAGTAAAAGAAAGAATTTTTTTTCATTTAACCACTTTGCCATTTATCTGTACTGCCCAACCCACTCCACCTCAATTCCATGTGTGGGCCACAATACAGTCTCACTTGTCATCCTCTGGAATGTAGTCCAATTCTACATTCTCTCACTAGCCTAGAGTTTACCAACTTGACTACCAACTGAGATATTCCTACATCTTCTTCCCCTGGACTAGAATTTTACGTGTACACTACCACACACTGCATTTTAGTGTTTACTGAAGTTCTCAAACCAGGTCCTTATGCTAATTAGGCAGCTCAAGCACTTTCCCTATTGAGCTATCTTCCTACCTGTATTACTTCTTCAGAAGCATTTATTTAAAATCCTTTGTCCACTTCTTCAATGAGCTGTCTGAACAGTTTATGTATTAACTTCTTGGCATGTGTATGCTTTCTTTTATTCCGTAGGGCGTGTAACTGCTAATTACATCTTTTCTCATGCAGAAAGCTATTGTTTGGAATAATCCCATTAATCTATTCTTTGTTGGAGTCATGTCTTCAAAAACATTTACAAACACTAACATCAAAAATCTTTTCTTGCCTTCAAATAGCTGACAGTTGCACAGGATATTAACTAAGACATAATTTCATCCTTCTGTTTATGTATATCCAGTTTTATTTACATCATCTATTAAACATATTGTTCTTTCATCTACAAGAGTAGTCAATGCTCTTAACAGTTGAGCCATCTTGTAGCCTCAAGAATCCTTGACTTACAGAGTAAGGCAATATGGTCTCTGTAGTTAGACAGACATGGTTTTTGGTTTGGTTGTTTTTGTCCTTTCTTTTAAGGTTTTCCAGACAGTGTTTCTCTGTTCAGCTCTGGCTATCTTAGAAAGTGGTCTGTACACTAGGTTGGCCTAAAACTCAAAGATATTCCAACCTGTCTCTGGCTCCCAAGTGCTGGGACTAAAAGCATGCACTGCCATACTGGGTTAAGATAGATACCACATAATTGGCAGTTTGCTATTACTTTCTTAAAAATATTTGTTACAAGCCTACAGTAGTAGAGTTTCTTGTTTTCATATAAGAGTAATTATTTTTTACTTATCAAAAGGTTGGAAACCTTCAAAAATTTTGACCTTGGAAAATATTAGTTTTAGTTCTTCAAATGTTTAGTGGATGTCAGCAGTGACGTCATCAGATTCTGGCCTTCCTCTGACAAGACTTAATTACTACTTTACCATCTTGTGACAACACAACCTTCTCAACCACGGCTATCAATAATAGTATGTAATTGCAAAATGCTCTAATGCTAAAAGTGTTCTGCTCTGCACATGCCGCTATCAATAGTCTGTCCTATCTATTCTGCTAACACACAATGGAAAATATTATCCATTAGAGACCACTGGAGAAGTCTCAAAAAACTGCAAGTACTATGAGGCTTCTAAACTCAGTGGGCCATTCGGTGCATGATGCTTTTAACATTTCGTCTGCTTCTTCAAACTACAACCACTTCACAGCTTTGTAAGTTTTTGGTATATTCAAGTCCAATTCAATTATTCTAATTATAGCATTCCACAGAACACCATTAAATATTTTTCATAAAAAGGTACATGAGGAGCCAGGCAGTGGTGGCACATGCTTTAACCCTAGCACTCGGGAGGCAGAGGCTGGCAAATCACTGAGTTTCAGGCCACCTACAGAGAGTTTCAGGATAGCCAGGGCTACACAGAGAAACCCTGTCTCAAAGGGGAGGGAAATAAAAAAGGTAAATGAAGAAAGCAGCTCTTTTCTGATATACCTGCAGCTATCTAGGTATATAAAATAAACATTCTTTTTTAACAACAAAAATCAACAAAAAAAAGGACTTATTTACTAAACTACATTAAAATGCCAACCTCACATCCATTAGGATTAACTACTACTCCCCAAAGAAATTTTAATACACCAGCCAAATTGTAAAAAAAATTGTAATGCTTTTATTGTAGGGAATGTAAATAAAATGGTATAACTACTGTTTAAAACATTATGGTATATTCACAAAAAATTAAAAACATAATTACCATGATATGATATAGACCCAAAACAATTTTAGAAAAGGTCTCAAAGAACAGATCCATGCTTTTAGCAACATTATTTACAATTGCTAAAACACAGAATTAATCTATTAACAGATAGATGAGCAGAATACAGCATATACAAGCAAGCAATATTATATTATTCAGCCCCCAAAAAAGAGGACAAGAAGTTCTAGTAATGCTTCACATGAACGAACTTTGAGGACATCGTGTTAAATAAGCCAATCATCAAAACAAAAAAAAAAAATGCTGTGACTGCACTTACTTGAGGTAGTTAGAAGCACCAAACTCACAGACAAAAAGTAGAATCGTAGTTGCCAGCCACAGTGGAAATAACAAGTCACTATTTAATGCATACAAAGTTTCAGTATTGCAAAATGCAAACAGTTCTAATGATAAATGCTCGAAAATATTAATGTCCACATACCACTAAATTATATACTTTAAAAACAGTAAATTTTCTACCTTTGTGTTTTAAAGTTACCAGAGAAGTTACACAGTCTCATATATTTTAAAAACTGTACTTCATAGTCATTTCTTGAATTCACAATGTACATTAGCATTTAAAAGGATGTAATCTGCTTTCAGTAAAGAAAACCTTAACTTTTTCAGCCACTTCCTTAAACGTAGCTCTACATATCTACCCTTGCCTCCTTCTAATTTCGGAAGACAGGTGTGTGTATGTGTTACAGATATGCAGCGCATATCTAAACATGTTTAGAAGCCAGAGGCCTAGACCTAGTGTCTTCATCAGTAGGTCTTTATTTACTGAGACATTCTTTCACTGTACTCAAAGCTTGCCAATCCTGCTGGCCTAGCAGCCAGTTGGGCCCCTACTCCAGTCTTCATACTTCCATGGCAAGTGCTACTATATACCTAAGTCATTGCCACAGTCCCCTAATTAATCTCTTCTCATGATGATTATTATTTCTATTTTTTATTCATCACTGTCAAATTTTTAAAAGATCTAAATTCCCCACTTCTCTCTGCACTCAAGTGTCCTGCTTCAGAACCTTATGGTCAAACTGTCAGTTGCCTATTTCCCAGTAACATTTCAAGACTCAATCTAGTTTTAACCAGTCACATCAATTTCCCTATCTGCACTAGATTTCACTTGCAAATTGGAACTCCTCTATATTCTCAATCTATCCCAAGTAAAATTTGATATCAATAATTAAAAAATATCTGTATTTCCTCTTTCAGAAGGTAGGAACTAATTATTAAGCATCTTTATATCCAAAACACAGGACCTGATGACTTATATTGAGAGTGAACAGAGGTCATATTTAAACAACCTTGGTTTCCTGTGTTATAAATTAATTAACAACAGGCACTAAGATGAGTGAATCTTCCTCTAATTTCCCTATTTACCCACAACTGCTAAGGACACAAAATCTTTAATAATTCAGAATCATTTATGTAATTATATACTTACCATTAAGCCATCTAATGGTTTGCATGTTTGAAAGTATTTGGTAAGGGGACAAGCAGATTTGTTCCAATCTCTAGATACAATTTTAAGTTGTTCTTTCGTTGTTTTTTTTTTTTTTATTTTTATTTTACTTTTTTTTTTTTTTTTTTTATTTTTAAGCCTGAAAATTATTTTCAAATAAAGCAATGCAGGGCAACTTAAAACACAGAATAGCCTGAACCAAGTTATACTTACATTCGGCTAGCTTCAATGTCCTCAGACTGGGGTTCTCCTGGTGATCTGTAAAATGTAATTAAGGACAAAGATTAGTGAATTCCAAAAAGGGACAGAAATATAAGTAGGGAAGATAAATTTGAAAGCAAGACTTAAGTTTTAATGAAACGGTGTTTAAAAGATTTAAAACTAAGGAAAAAGTAATCAGGTCAGATTGTTATAATATGTGTAACAAAAAACTTTAGAAATCTCAAAACTTTTTTTAAAGAAAACTGCAATCATTATGCTTAAATATCATATCAGTACAAGCCATAATTATTTATACAAACATGTATGAAAAAGCAAAACCGTTATTTTCTATTAAGTTGGGTTTCCTGCATTAAGAAAGTGATATTCATAGTCTTGAAATTATATGAAGTGTTAACAAACTGTAGCCTGAGCAAATATACTACGCTGTGGGATAATGACCAGTTTGTTATTTCTTTTTCAGTACTGTTTTACTAAGAAAGTCAAATTCATTTAAAGAATATCTATGTATACTGAAAAAGAAAGGTTAAGTACTTGCAGAAAACACCATGTTTCTCAAAATATTACAAAGGTCCCCTAAAAAAGTTGCCAATTTCTGCAACTAGACAATTCAAACTAAAATACTGCTTGTAAGTCTTGATATGTTTAAATGTTAAGTGCCATTCTAATCAAAATTACTGTTTTTCAACAAGGAAATTAGATTTCCCTTAAAAAACAGTATCTATCATTAACATATAAGTGGAGTAGTATATTTGCTAGATAACTGTAAGCTAGTTTTAGCTTTAATAGCTGCTGGTTGTTTTATTTTTAATATATTAGTTAATATAGAAAACATATACAAATTAAACATCAAAAAGCATCCCATTTTTATTGGGTGGAACATAAGCCAATTTTCCCTGTGGTTAAAAAAACATATTCCAGAGCAGCACTTTCCTATAATTCCTGTACTCAAAATGCTAATCCAGGATCATACTTATTTTGAGGACAGACTGGGCTACATAGTGAGACACTGCTTCACAAAATAAAATACATATAAAGAAACAATCTGTTACCCTATAATTCATTAATGTATTAGAGTCAAAATTATATGGTGAAATGGTTTTATACCTATTTCTAATACTCAATTCCCAAAACGGATTAAAAACAAAAGTAAAATTTACAAATTGTTATACAAAAACTTTTGTGAATTTATCACTGACTTTATATTTTCAGCTTAAGAAACAAAGAATTGATTTGTGAATTTATCAGAAGAAACAAAAAAAAAAGACTTATAAAAAAACAAAAAACAAACATGTAGTAAGGCTTATTTTGGCTCACGGTTATGGCAGTTATTTTTAACAAAGGATCTTAAGTTAGGGGATGGAGAGGTGGCTCATTGGTTAAGAACACTTGCTGTTCTCAGCGAATCAGGGTTTGACTCCCAGCACCCACACTGTTGCACACAACCATCTGTAACTCCAGTCCCAGGTCTGATGCCTTTTCCTGGCCTCTGTGGGGATCAGGTACACATGTGGTACTCGTACATACCTGCAAGCAAAACACTCATACACATAAAATAAAATTTAAAAACAAAAAAGAATTTAAAAATTACTATATTCATTTTTTGCGAGATATTAAAAATAACACTTTGATTCATTTAGATTCCAACTCAGTAACACACATATATAAAGAAACACAATTAAAAACAGACCCCAACAGCGCAAATATTTTAGCTTTTCTTAGGAGTACATTTAAATATTCTGTTTAACACAATATTACATGAAAACTGGGGCTTGGCAGTGCTGAAAAATGCAAAACTTTTCCACCCTCTTCTCTAGAAAACAAGCAAGTCACCATGGACATAATGGTCTCCACCAGCCTTAAGTAAGTGCCCTAAGATTGTTTCTAAACTTAAATCCTATACAAAAGAACTGGAAGAACTAAAACATTATACTAGCTAGCTCATTTTTTTAATTTGACCCTCTAATAGCTGATGTTATTAAACAGTAAAAAACCTGTCAGCAATAAGGAAGGCAAACTAGAAGCTTTTAAGCTGGGAAGAAGCAAAATGTTCTAAATGAATAGGGAAAGAAAAAAAATGAGGTTAGGAAATGATAAGAAAAAATATTAAGAAAAATATAAAACAAGAGAAAAACAACCATATCTCAAGAGAACATGACAGAACTGCTGCAAAATTTCAAGAGCCTAAAATGAGCAATTGATCAACCATATCATTAAATGACCAACTACGGCTATTTTCCCAATTTCTGTTCCCTAAAACAGAATTATATGTGAATACCAGTACCATAATGTCAAAAAAGTATTGTAAATATACTAGATCTCACTTTAATATTTACATATATTATAGTAAGATATTAAACATCATGAAGCCAAACTAATAATTTAAGACAACCCTAGAAATATCAGAGTAAAATAAGAATGAAAGATTATTACCCTCAAATTTTTCTCTTCTTGGTCTCTTAACATACCATAAGCTGCTTCCATTCAAACTGCAGTTTTATTTTATAGTCAAGTGAAAAATAAACGCAACAGAAACATGTTTTTGATAATAGTCTACACCTGAATAAGGTCTACTCAGACTACCTCAATTACATTCCAAGTTCCCAAAATATATCCTAAAACAAGAATTAGCTTTCAAAACTATGACTACATATAATACCTACTAACAGTTCCAAAGCTGTACTTTGACTTTTAAAAAAAAGTTTACTGTTTCTTTACTGCTAATATATCTGAAACAAGAATCCAGCACATGCTCCTAATTTTACCAAATTCAAAATAAAAAAACAACCAAAAACTTAAGAGAAAACTACTGACCCAAGTTATCCTAAAGTTTGCCAGAAAAATAAATAATAAATTAATGAATTAATTAAAGTTTGAGAAATGAAAGTTTGGTGACAAGAAGTCTTTACAGTATCAATTTTAGGTATTTAACTGAAAAAGAGAAAATATGATCACAAAACACTCACTAATTTCAACACTGCAAAATGAGCTGACAAATCCATCCTTTTAAAGAGGTAAATCTATGCTTTTAATGCCATTATAATTCTCTTTGAGAAGAAAAGAGACTAATTTTACTAAATATGCAACACTTCTAGAAAGGCCTTTAATCTACCACATAAAAGGGACATTTAAAAATACTAATTAAGGCATTTCCCATATATTTCTTAATGTCTACAGTGTAACCTTCAAACTTAAAAAAAACAAGTCTTTGATGACTATCTTCATGAATGGAAGGGCAGTTAAGAAAGGCACTGTAATAAATATCTTACAAAAGAGGTTAAATAAAGAAATAGCTCAATTTTCAGGCCCTCTATTCTCAGAAATATTCCTGCCAACTATGCATTTTCTTCATTTTTATAGCACATAATTCATTTTACAATGACAGCCTTTTAAAGACTGTAAAATAATATTCAAAATTACCTTTTACAAGCTGTGGCCATTCGGTGACATCAGGGTGATAACAGCTTTGAGTCAATGATTAAAAACGGTTGTCACACGAGTCTAGCTGCTAACTTGCTCTGAACGTAGGCTTAATAATTCTAATAAATTAAACAAACCTTTAGTTAGAACACTAGCATTAACTTAATTCATTGTTCAAATCATATTCTTTAAAGCTTCAAGTAAGTTGTTAATATAAAATTTATATTAGAAGAATAATTATTATACGAAAACCTTTATGAACTATTTTCCAGTATATTATTTTCTTAAATAATCTCCTGAGGAAAGGAGGTATATCCTCAATCCAAAACTTAAAAAAATGCACGTTTTAAATCATGTCAGCAATTCAAAAAGGACTTAGGGGCATTTCTGATTTTGGATTTTCAGATTAGATATGCTCAACCAGAAGTCTATAGGAACATGGCAAAATCTAGAAAATTCTTAAATCTGAAACACATCTGGTCCCAGGCATTTCTCATAAAGATAATACTCACTACTTTTCAATGAAGCATTATATGTTTTATAAAATACAATGATCAACAGTACCCTTAAATTCCACTGACTTTAACTCTACATGACCAAAACAGACACTAAGATTAACAATAAGCATCCTCAGAATAAGATTAACTGACTTGCCCAAGATTTTGCAAATAATGTTGAAATTAAGAATAAAAACAAAAAAATAAATAAAACAAGATCGACTAACTTTCCAGTAAGCATTAGAATTTTGCTATAGTTTAGTTTTGCTTTACAGTGTTTTGTGATTTAAATACATACAAATAGGCCAAGTTTTAGAATATGGATTGTGGCAATAGTTAAAACGAAGCTGACTGAATAACAAAGTCTTCAAGTAATGGGAGAAATCAGTTAGCAAACAAGGAAATTCTTGATGAAATAGTTACACACACACACACACACACACACATGCACACACTGTACTTAAGTAGTAACATCAAACATTAATTTAAAAACCCTTGGGTCTATAAGAATGTTCATTCTCAATCTCTTAGACTCATTTCTATGAAATAATATAGCAAAATATGAATATCCTATTCAATTTTCTTAACTCCTGTACATAGTTTTAACCAAATCTTTCTGATTCAAGTTTCACAGCCCTCCACAGCATACTGTAATTCTGACAAAATGTCTGCAATATACCGGTACTGAGTTATTATTTTATCCAGTTAGTTTTTTCCACTGATCTATACACATAGAAAAAATTTAAATGAACTAAAAAGAAAAGAAAAAAAAAGTATAAGATTAGGAAGGGGAAGGTCTCTTCACAATTAACACCCTAAAAAATGACAAAGCAGACAAACAAAGTGGCTAACAGCATGGAGCCATAACCCAATTAAAAATAGGGAGGTATCTGAGCATCCTGAAGGAATTATTGAAGCACTAATGCTTGAGAATTGGCCTGAGCATATACAAAAACTTTAGGGAATTCTAATATTTATAATCCCTGTAAGAATTAACCCAATTTCCCTGATTTTTCTAGGCATCATTGAGATAGCAAAGGACAGAGGAAACAACATCCTTGAAATGAATGATGTGGTCCATGAAATAGTTCCCTTAGCTGGGATACAAAGCAAATAACCCATGATTAATATAAAAAAATAAAATAAAGTAAAAAAAAAAAATAGTTCCCTTAGTTTCTCATGAGACTAATTAATTGTTTATGTGGATTGAGAATATTCAAATGCATCTAACTTCCAACTTAAAAACCCAAAAATGACAAAATTTACATAAAGTCAACTAATCTATTAAAGAATTACACACACTCTCTTGGGAACACTATGTACTCTCTTTTAATCTCTTCATTTTATGAGGTTCCAAAGCCAATCTGAGATTCCATTGTCTGCTTGATCACTTACTACCTGTAAAATCTTGGGCAAGTTACATAACCTCCCTTAATCTCAATTACCTTAAAGGTAGATTTAAAACCCTTGTGTGGGTTATCACAAGAGTGCCTTGTATATATTATACTAGCAATATACCCATAGCCTAACGGCCAAATCTATTTCTTGATCTTCTTTTCCATATTACTTTATGTCTCATAAGGCAGTAATCACTCACAAATTCTTCCAGCACCCCACTTTTATCCCTAACAGTCTAACTGGTAGCATACTCAGCACCTAGCATGATCCTTTAAAAATGACAAGTGCCCAAAGTTACTGAACGCATTTGTCATTACGCTAGCCATGACATTAAAATAATTCATGCAATATGAATTTCAAAAGATAAAACAGAAACATACCATATTTCGCCAAACTTCTGAGGAGCTGGTGAATTCTAAAATCAGGCTCTTAGAGATTTTTAACCTAAAATATAAAACACCTCACTCAATTCTTTTAAAACATAAACAACTGGATAGTCTTTCAGAAAAAAAAAAAAAGCTGAAATTCATTACAAAATTAAAGTAAATTCACCTTCAATAATACTTATAAAGATCCAAAAATATATTGAAAGACAAATTACCCTACTCCTGCTACCAAAATAAGTAACCGGTAGCTAGATAGACTATGATCCGAATATTTTCATCTGGGAGATGCATGGTTCCCAAATCATGCACAAAGATTAACCCCTAGCCTCCAAAGCCCATGGTTCCCATCTTCATGCACATAGATTAACTCCTAGCCTCCTTTGAAGCAAGCTGAAAACATTATTGTTCATATCCTGCAATTCACTTCAAACACCTATAGTAATTCTGTTTTCAGTTAAATTCTATATGCAAAACTTCTGCTACATTAAACCATAAATATTTTTGTACTAACTCCTAGAATAACCATTGCGACCTTTAACGTCAGTCTCTTAATTATTAAAGTTGTTGAATTAGAAAAATATACTAGAAGAATATAGACGCTTTCCTAGCACTTAACAGGAAACCATTACAATGTGGAATTACATAAGAAAACCATCCATGTCTATCACAACTCGTCACAAATCAACAATACCCAATTTATCATAAAGCTTAAAGGAAGCTCCCCAATGATTTTTAAATTTAGTCCATAGTTCATTTATAACCTATCAGAGTATTTTTCAGTCTTTAAAGTATTTTAATCTTGTTTCCTCATAACAAGAAAACCTAATCCCAAAGATTAAGAAACTATCCATTATTCTACAGGTTGAAGGAACAAAATTATTTATAGGTAAGTAGGTAAGATAGGTAGATGAATAGATGGAAGATGGATGGATGGATGGACGGACTGATGGAAGTACAGATTAATAAACTGACTTGACTAATTTGAGATGGTCTCATTACATAACCTTGGCTGTCCAGGAACTTGCTATGTAGCTTAGGCTATCTTGAATTTATAGAGATTGCCTGATACTGTCTCCTGAGTGCTGAGATCAAAGGTGTACACCACCATACTCAGCCTTGCAATAAGTATTTTAAATAAAACCAACAAAACATTAAGTAGGGAACTGAGTTTCAAGCTTTACAACAATATAATATGAAAAAAAATCTATTAAACTTTACCTTTTAGATAGGTATGGTAAAGTACATCTGTAATGTTAGTACTGTGGAAGTAGAGACAACAGGACCAGAAATTTAAAGACAGATTTGGCTGTGTAGTAAATTCTAGACTACCCTAAATAAAACCTCTCTGAAAAAGAAGAAAAAGGGGGGGGGAGGGAAGGAGGGAGGGAGGGAGGGAGGGGAGGCAGCAGCAGAAGCAGAAAAAAGCAGAGCAGAAGAAGAAACAAACATGTCGGGTTCTCTGTAGTCATTCTGATTCAGTGCAATAAGAATGCCTGAATTTGTGTTTTTCAACACACTCCAAGGGATGCATAGATTCCATTTTATCTCTGGACTTAATATCATAACCATACCGATTTTTAAGCACTTATCTTTGGCATTACAACCCCCAACTCTCACTTATCAAAAATATAACACCATCGAATATCTCAGCATCTCAATTAAAAAATTTTAATCAATTACCACACCCACATACAGAAAAAACATCCTACTCTATATATTTGTATTATCACCAATCTCACTGTCCTGGGGGGAAAAAAATTTCATGCCATCTTCTTCCCATATTTCTATTTAACCTAAATTCTTCATTCAAAACATGTCATTTAGCTTTTGTGTGTATACAAGTAGCTGAAAACACCATGGTAAAGAAAGTATGCAAGATCTCTTATGCTGAGGGGAAGATAAGGAAAAATTATTAAAATATATATATAATAAATTATATAATTACAATTCAAGGATAAATGTAATCAAGGAGATACATGAAATTTGCCAAATGGTGGGAACCAGAAAAGATCATTCTGAGTGAAGTAACCCAGAAGCAGAAAGACACAAATGATACATACTAATTTACAAGTGGATATTAGCCATATAAAATAGGATAAACATACTAAAATCTACAGCCCTAGAAGAAGCTACACAACAAGGAGGACCCTAGGGAAGATGCTCATTGAGAAGGACAAACGGGATAGACATTGGAAGCAGGAGAAGAACAGAAGTAGGAGAAGGAACATGACAGGAGCCTTCTACAGGGGATCTCTGAAAGACTCCACTGATAGAGGTATCAAAGGAAATCCTCATGGCCAAACTTTGGGCAGAGTGCAGAAATCCTTATGGAGGAAGAGGGAGATAGAAAGACCTGGAGGGGGCAGGAGCACCACTAGGAGAGCAACAGAACCAAAAAATCTGGGAACAGGGATATTTTTCTGAGACTGATACTCCAACCAAGGGCCGTTCATGGATATAACATAGAACCCCTGCTCAGATGTAGCCCATGGCAGCTCAGTCTCCAAGTGGCTTCCCTAGTAAATGGAACAATAGCTGTCTCTGACATGAACTCCAAGGCTGGCTCTTTGATCACCTCCCCCTGAGTGGGGGAAGCCTTACCAGGCCACTGAGAAAGATGATGCAGCCAGTATTGATGAGACCTGGTGTACTAGGGTCAAATAGAAGGGGAGGAGGCATAGGGAGAGAAGAGGGAGAGTGGGACTGAGAGGAGACAAGGGAGGGGGCTGCAGCGTGGATACAAAGTAAACTGTAATACATAAATATATAAATACAATTAAATTTTTAAAAATTCAAAATTTTTAATGAATTGACTGAGGTTATATGATAACAACCAGTCATCTAAACATTGTTCACATATGATGACATCCGGAAGTATGTCATCCCAATCTTCTTGGGTTATCACAGTTTATCATATATTAGAAATCTCTATTTATGCTTCTCAGGACATTTCACTAGAAAGCTCTGCAACTTCAATCCCCTCTTCATCTCTCAAAGCCAACTTAAAAAATAACAAATTATTCTTTCTAAAACTTTAGTGAACCTCAAATGAACAGTGACAATCAAAAAGACTAGAAATAATGACAATAATAGCATCAATAATAGAAAAATCAGAACCTTCACACACAGCTAGCAAAACTATTATATATATATATGTATATATATATATATACACACACACACATGTGCATACACACACACACACACACTCTTTGAGACGAATTTAAAAGTGCCTCTAATTTCAAATAGTTACCTTATGTTCCACGCAATTCACACCAAGATATATATAATCAAGAGAATGTTGTATGTTTACAATGAAAGCTGAACACATACATTGACAACAACACTATAATAAGCCAAACTGGAAGCAACCGTAAAACCTATCTGCTGATGACTGAATAAGACAGTCAGCAATTAAAAAAAAAAAGTAATATTATATGCCACAATATGAATGAACTTCAAAAATGCTATGTTAAGAAATAAACAGGCCTTTAATCCCAGCACTCCAGAGGCAAAGATAGGCAGATGTCTGAGTTCAAAGCCAGCTTGGTCTAGAAAGTGAGTTTCAGAATAGCAAAGGCTACACAAAGAAAAATTATGCCTTGAAAAACCAAACCAAACAATCAGAAAGACAGAAAGAAAAGAAAGAAAGAAAGAAAGAAAGAAAGAAAGAAAGAAAGAAAGAAAGAAAGAAAGAAAG